TCTCTGGTGCCTCTTGTTTTTTCCAAGAAGTCCCAGGCTTTGAGAGCTTCAATATCCACTTTTAATTAAGCTGACTTTTAACCATAGCACTCTCTAATAAAGTTCTTTTAAAATTTCTTGTAACCCAACTTTAGCCAGGTCAAATGGTAGATAATTCTGGCTTTTATACTTCACCCAAAGTAATCTCACAGGTGCTCTGATAAAGAAAAATTCAAGATGGTTTGTGGAGGGAAAGAGAATAAAAAAATGGCAAAGGTCACCCAAATATCAATCAGAAAGGCTCATCCCCTAAGATAGGTATTGAACTCTGAACTTGGGCTGCCATTGTGAAAAGAGAAAACATGGCCACATGGTTACAAGGTCAGGATCCTAAGGACATAATTGACCAGTTTGCTGGGCTATCTTAAACCGGAAGCTTATGAGGTTTTGGGCACATATTTTATCCTAAGGTACCCCTCTTTATGACAACAATATAAAAGACACATAAAGCACACCAGATCCACTAGAGCTTAAGACCAGCCTCAGAATTTTTTTTTGTATTAACCAAAACTTTACATAGGAGGCAACAATAATTTTTACCATTCATTTGACTATTTTGCACAAAGAAAAAAAGAGGGGGAAAGCCAGAATTCTGACTGGTAAGAAATTCTTACCCTTTTACTGGCATGCCAGGCTTCTGGGCTCTCTCTCCCTTTCTCTGAGTAGCCCTAGTAAACCGTCTTGCCACACCATTACCCTGGGGGCCAACCTACATCATAAAGGAAAATTATCTTTTATCATTCTGGTCAGAACAAAACACATGTGATAAAACAGAGATATTAGCCACACTGCTTAGCACCCAATATCAAACTGGTAAGGCTTAAATTTGCCCTCAGATGGCCCCTGTCATTTTTAATCCAACCTCTAACTAGGAGTTTCAACACATGGTGGTCTCTGGGCAAGATGGCTACACTGAGTAACAGGAAAGATAGGAAAGGAAAAGTAGAGAAAGAAAGGTATTGCCTGTGGCAAGATAGGGAAGGTGAAGAGCTCGGGGAGGCCAGAGCAAGACCCACTCAATGCAATGACACTGAAAAGTTCAGGCAGCAGCTTGTCAGTAGCCAAGAAATCTTTTCTAGCAGTCTCATCAGCTCTCAAGTTTCCCCTTTTGGATGGAAAAAGCTTTCCATGTCCCATGGTCCTATACATGCCTAATACTGTCACCCATAGCCACCAGCAAAAAGTATAAGACAGATTAATCAAAAGAGAATAGTAGTTAACATCCCATAGCACCACACCTGTTCTTAACCAAAAGAGACTTTACTGAGAGCTCTCATTTTTAAACATACTTCAATGCATTGTTGTTCATTTGGAACATTCCACTGTTGATTATCTTTAGTAAGATTTTGCCATTTCTGTTAGAACTACTGTCTCCCAGGCCTAACATATACACCAGAAGGAACTTAGTTTTCCAGAAATTAAGGATCCCAATTTTACCGAAAATATTGGCTTTACTCTTAGGGTATCTTGATTAACTTAGCCAATGAGTTTTCCTACCTAATCGTGCAAGAAAAATGAAATAAAAAGGTGGAACATGAAAATCCTGTGAAATTTCAAGAAGCCAAATTTTATAACCCCTGCAATATTTCTGCTTACTATCAGTTTCTTTCTAAACTAGTCAGATCTAAGAGGTCTCAAACTAAATCCAAGCCAATCCAGATCAAATCCATTCCTGGATCCAGCTCAGATTCTGTCACAACTTTCAAACCCAGTTTGGATCAGGAATTTGCTCAAAGAAACTTAGAGAGCTCAAAACACAAATCTATGGAGGTCTGAAATCTGAGAGAGAGCTTACCCATGATCCCGAGCTACTCTGAGAGATCAGTGAACACAAGCAGGTCCTGCAGGTACCTTGCTTGTTCACTCAGCACTCCTGGGGGTCGCCAGAAGCTCTACTTCAAATTCTGCTTCTGACATCATGTGATTAAAAAAAAAAACTTTAGCCAAATTAAATTTAAAGGAGTTTAATTGAAGAAGGAACAATTTGCAAGTCAGGCAGTGCCCAGAATCACAGCAGATTCACAGAGACTCCAATGCAGCCACCTGATGGAAGATTTACAGACAAAAAAAGAGAAATGATGTACAGAAATTGGAAATGAGATACAGAACAGCTGGATTGGTTACAGATTGGTGTTTGCCTTATTTGAACACAGTCTGAACACTCAGTAATGTATGAATGGTTGAAATATGGTAGCTGGGATTAGCCAAGCCTCAGCTATTGTTACAGGTGCATACCCCTAGTTAGGTTTTCAATCTTGTCCACCTATTAAGCTAGGTTACAGTTCTTCCACAAGAACTCAAATATAGAAGTACAGAGTCCTTCTCAGGTCATATTTAGATCACTTTAACAGCATATATAGGTGGTCCTCACTGTGCAGAACTGTGTAGTGTAGGACTGAAAAACCCTGCAATTAAACAATCAATAATTAGTGGGAAAAAATACAGTCATTTGTGACTTTTGAAGTTTTTTGTTAAAACAGTAAAAATCATTTTACTGCCAGTTATAACCGTATGAAAAACTACATAGGAAAGCAAATGAAAAAGGTAAGACCAATAATTATTTAGTATATTATATATTTTTTTAAGAGATGAGGTCTCACTATGTTGCCCAGGCTGGTCTCAAACTCCTGGTCTCAAGCAATTCTCTCACCTCAGCCTCCTAAGTAGATGGGAGTACAAGTGCATGCCACTATTCCTGGCTTTAGTGTACTATACTCTAAAATGTCAGAAACATGGAAAATTAAAGTGTTTTGTTTCTTTGTAAAAAAAACTTTTCATTTTTCTCTGAGGGTGGAGGAGAAATGAATTAATCTATATCCAACCTAAGTTGAGCCCTCTAAGAAGCAACCCTAGGGCACCTGGAGATTCACATTTTCATGTCTAACCTTAACAAATATTTTCCTCATTGCTTTTCAAAGTCATATCTCATTTCTATTATTTTCAACTAATAATATCCAGTGGATATATTTTCTATGTCTTGGCAAACTATCATAACTCTAAATTTAAATCAGCTTCTACTATTTTATCCTTTACATTTTCAACATCATGAAATATCTCTGACAATTCCTTTTCTAATAAAGCTTTAGGTTTGAAGTAGCTATGATGTCTCTTGGAATTCTCTGCAGTTTTAAAATGATTCCCTATGGGCTTCTAGCTGAACACCCAACATAGCCTGATTTAATGTTCCATAAAATCCTTGTCATAATATTGACAATAGGGTTTACTACTCTAAATCAGTGGTTTTCAAAAACTTTATTATATTTTAGCAATGGTTGTCAAGCTTTTCTCAAGCAAAATCATACCAAAAGCAAAACTATTCTGGAGTATAGGGGTAGAGATGGAGGACCCAGAATCCTGTCCCCTAGGTTTCTCCCTCAGCTCCTGAGGCTGTCTCCAGACAGCTCCCAAAACACAGCAGTTTGCAGATATCTGCATTCCATAGTAGATCCAAAGTCTGTGGTTAATAAAGTACAGTAAAAACAACCACATATCAGGACGCAGATCAACTAGGATGGGACATGTGGGTTCTGCCCGGTATATTGGTGCCTTGGAATCATTGCATCCCTCTGTTTCTCTGTTGCAGATCACTGATTAGGATCCAGTATTACTTTTCACCCATACTTCTAAACAGACGCCTTAAATTGTTTCTGGCTCTCACCTCCCACCTTGAACGTGGCGTCAATTCCACTTTTTGGCTGGGCGCGGTGGCTCACACCTTTAATCCCAACACTTTGGGAAGCCAAGGCGGGTAGATCACGAGGTCAGGAGTCTGAGACCAACCTGGCCAATATGGTGAAACCGCATCTCTACTAAAAATATATAAATTAGCCAGGTACAGTGGCAGGAACCTGTAATCCCAGCTACTTGGGAAACTGAGGCAGGAGAATCGCTTGAACCTGGGAGGTGGAGGCTGCAGTGAACCGAGATTGTGCCACTGCACCCCAGCCTGGGCGACAGAGCAATACTCCACCTCAAAAAAAAAAAAAAAAAAAAAAAAAAAGAGGAATCACACATGGGCCAGGTGCAATGGCTCATGCCTGTAATCCTAGCACTTTGGGAGGCCGAGGCAGGTGGATTGCCTTAGCTCAGAGTTCGAGACCAGCCTGGGCAACATGGTGAAACCCCATCTCTACTAATATACAAAAAATTAGCCAGGCGTGATGGCGTATGCCTGTAATCCCAGATACTCAGGAGGCTGAGACAGGAGAATCGCTTGAACCCGGGAAGTGGTGGTTGCAGTGAGCCGAGATGGTGCCACTGCTCTCCAGCCCAGGTGGCAGAGCAAGACTCCATGTCAAAAAAAAAAAAAAGACGTATCACACATGATCCCACACATTTATCTCTTCACATGTCTTTGCTCTGTTCACTTCTCTTAAACAATCTTTGTTCTAAAGGCTTCATGTCCTGAATTACTTCCTTGACCTCTTTACAGGATCAAAACCAGCTGCTGGCACTGGTTTTCAGCAAGAAAGAGATCTGGCTTTTAAGCTGGTTGTCATTAATGTCTTGGTCATGTCATTACGAGCATGATTGCCTGCATCCTAATCTGAGAAGACAGATAGCAGAGAGAATGGGTGGTAGAATGGAACACTGAAGAAAGCAGATTAGAAAAGAAAGAAAACATCCTCTGTAAAGCTTTCCATAATGCTATTTTTATCTTTATAAAGATGCATGAGAGGAGGAGAAGGAGAAAGAGAAAAGGGGGGGAAACCTAATGGAAAGATTTTATCAGAAAGAGAAGGAACAAATGCCTTTGTAAATACTTCCTGAAAATTTGGGAAGGTTACTGAGTGTGGTTTTGTGTGCATCTGTGTATGTGTATAGCTATTCCTTCACTTTTCTCAGTTGTCCCAACACCAAAAAGTCTAACCTCATACCTCCCATAAAATATAAAATCTATTTGGAAAATTCCATCAAAGCTCAAGATAAATATTTGAGTATTCTTGGTTACTAATAATTACCAGCTGATCATCCAATTCGAAAAGTTGTTCCAGGTAAGTTTCAGACAATCTTCGAATGTTTGGTTTCATTGATGGAGCAATGCACGTATCCCTTTAATAACATCATAAAACACAGTCAAAATTAATTTCATTTTGTGGTAGTTAGTTCCATAATTAAATCAGTGATTCTTGTAGACAGAATGAAAGGAAGGAGAAGGAAAAGAAATTTCCCCTTCAAAGAAGCAGATCAGAATCACCTGGAGGACCTTCTCAAACCACTGTCACAAGATTTTGCTGTGTCCTCCAAAGGAGAATATGCCTCCCTTTCCTCATTCCCAACTTGAAATAAACTGGCCCTATGAACACATTACTGATCAGAGTACACCATATTTCTCAAATTGAGACATGGTAAGCAAATTATTCAGGTTTGTGTCTTTGGAACTGAAAAGCCTGTGGAGGAATTCCTTAACAATCTTGAGATTAGAAGCAGTCATTGGCAAGCCCTTATTTGTTACTGTACAATAAAAGTTTCCTTTAAAATAAAATGTTTCCCTATCACAAATCAAAACAACACTTACCAAAGAAGATTCTGAAGACCACTTTTGATTATAACCATGATCATTCCCTCTAAAAACCTCAGTGGATCCTCAGGACATGTAACAAGTATACCACATAATAATGCCTGGGGAAGAAAAGGAAATGGCATCAATGTTTCTGAATTTTCAAGTTTTTACTAAGCAGCAGATAACTTTTTTTGTTCAATGTGTTTTGGGTCTTTTGTTTGTTCTTAATTATTTATTTCCATAAGTTTCTGGGGAACAGGTGGTATCTGAGTAAGTTCTTTAGCAGTGATTTGTGAGATTTTGGTGAACCTATCATCTGAGCAATAGACACTGAACCCAATTTGTAGTCTTTTATCCCTCAACCCCCTCCCACCCTTGCCCCCAAGTCCCCAAAATCCATTATATCATTCTATGTCTTTGCATCCTCATAGCTTAGCTCCCCCTTATGAGTGAGAACATATGATGTTTGGTTTTCCATTCCTGAGTTACTTCACTTAGAATAATGGTCTCCAATTCCATCCAGGATGCTGTGAATGCCATTAACTCGTTCCTTTTCATGGCTGAGTAGTAGGATATATATGATGTGAGATATATATATTTCACAATTATTTTATCCAATCACTGACTGATGGGCATTTGGGCTGGTTCCATATTTTTGCAGTTGTGAATTGTGCTGCTATAAACATGTGTGCAAGTATTTTTTCTGTATAATAACGCATTTTCCTCTGGGTAGATATCCAATAGTGGGATCACTATCCCATTACCGATCAAATGGTAGTTCTACTTTTAGTTCGTTAAGGACTCTCCACACTATTTTCCATAATGGTTGTACTAGTTTCCTTTTTTTTTTTGAGATGGAGTCTCACTCTTGTCGTCCAGGCTGGAGTGCAATGGTGCAATCTTGGCTCACTGCAACCTCCACCTCCTTGCTTCAAGCGATTCCCCTGTCTCAGCCTCCCAAGTAGCTGGAATTACAGGAGCATGCCATCATGCCCAGCTAATTTTTGTATTTTTAGTAGAGATGGAGTTTCACCTTGTTGGCCAGGCTGGTCTTGAACTCCTGACCTCAAATGATCTGCCTGCCTCAGCCTCCCAAAGTGTTGGAATTACATGTATGAGCCACCACACCTGGTCTAGTTTATATTTTCACCAGCAGTGTAGAAGTGTTCCCTTTTCACTGCAGCCATACCAACATCTACTGTGTTTTTATTTTTTTTATTATGGCCATTCTTTGCAGGAGTAAGATGGTATCACATTGTGGTTTTGATTTGCATTTCCCTCATCATAAACGATGTTGAGCATTTTTTCATATGTTTCTTGGCCATTTGAATTTCTTTTGAAAATTGTCTATTCATGTCCTTAGCCCACTTTTTGATGGGATTGTTTTTTTTTTACTAATTTGTTTGAGTTCCTGTACATTCTGAATATTAGTCCTTTTTTGGATGTACAGATTTTTGCCTACTCTGTGGGTTGTCTGTTTACGCTAGCAGCAGCAAACTTTTTTTTCATACAGTTAAAAACTCAAATAATGTTACAATTTAAAGTAAATGTGTTTTTACATAGCCTTCTATATTTATTCAGTGTTAATGTTTTGCTAAAGTAAAACAAAAATGAAGTTTATCTTGCATCTTTCTAAAAATCCATCATAAAAAAACACAAAAAGTCACTGTACTGTGAGGGTTTGCATTATGTGAGAAGTAAGTTCTCTATAGCCAATCTGAAGATATAACTGTGATTCTTTACATCAGGGGTTTCTAGTCTTTTAAAGTATGAGAAACTCATAGGGTTTTGGTTTTGGTTTTTTTTAGCCAAAAAGTTCCTTAGACCCAACCATAAAATAGATTGAGAAAATCCACGATTAAAATGTGTGAATTTAAGAACTCTTAAAAATACATTTCTATTTTATCATTCACAACATCTACAGAGTATATACATTTCAAAAATTGTAGCTTAGTACACATAGGTGAGAAACAATGAATTTGCTGGATCTATGATACTGTTTAAAGCACATATATGGAACTCAAAAAGTTGCTGTTGTCTCATTTTCCTCATGAGGTCCCCCCAAAAGAAGAAACTTCTCATTAAACATGTTGGCAAGATATACACAATTATTGACGTTTTCTCCATTTGAGACAGATGAAAAGGTCTGCAGAATACTTCCCACAGAAACCACCTGGAATTCTCCATCAACATTTCTCTTTCCTTTCGTGGTTCCTGTTTTCTGGTGGGGCCTAGTGTACGTGTTGGAGGTGGTCAGGACGCTTTGAACCCACTCCTGCTGGCTTTTTCTCTTGATCCTGTATTTCCAGAACAAAATAACTCCATCAGTTGAGTTACACAGAGCAGTTCTCTCTACCTCCATAGGCCAAATGTCAGCAGATCTAGGCCTGGGGTCTTGTCTTAGACTCTCGGCGATTCTCACAGGGCTCTTCCAAAACTAAAAAAGGTCAATTCTCCTAATTGGACCCTGCATAATACAACCTCCCCCTTTGCAATAGCTCCTTGCTCCTCTTCTTAGCACACAGCCTGCAAGCAGGAAGCTCAGCCCTTATGAGAATGGCACAATGGTGAGATTTAGATCCCTCTCCCTCTCTAGCTCTGCCTTCAGACTGAGCCCATACTAACTGCTCATAAGTGCTCAGCTACCTGCAGACTGACTCCCTTTTCCCCCAAACCAAGAGACTATAATTGCACAGGAGATTAGTGGTCTCACCACAGTTGCAACCTGAATTTGAACAGTCATCTATTACCTAAAGAGCTGGCAAAAATGGGTTCTATGGGGACCTAACGAAAAAGCCAAAGCCTTCTAATATCTGGAGGCCAATCAGACTTCCCACAGCTCTCTCAATATCCCTGGTGAAAAGCCCATCTTCTCTCTAGCACTCTGTGCCTGGGTCTCTAGAGTATTGAGTTTTTGTACTCCCTACTCTACATCCTTTTCTCCATCTTATTCTGGCACCCTGAGGACATCTACATCAGAATCACCTGGAGAATGAATTTGTCTCTGAGAATGGAGAGTAGGAACCTGCATTTTACTAAGCTCTCCAGGTGATTCCTGTGCATACTGATATCTAAGAATGAGTGCCTAAATGAAGTTCAGCATTATGATACATTTTTAAGAAAGTTGACGTCTGGTTAATGTATGTCAGAAATTGCATATATATATTAAATATATATATGTAGATGTATATATTTATATATGGTATAAATATATATATGTATATATATTTATATACATCTACATATATATATATTTATAACCTCCACATGTAATAAACTCCACATGTAACCTCCACATGTAATAAACTACTTTTCCTGGAAAGCTATCCTGCAGAAGTTAAGTCAGGTTGAGAAGATAAGTCTCTGAAATGCTAATAAAGGCATATGGAATAAGCAGAGTTGAAATGCACACTTTTCACATAAGAAATTTCACTGTTGGCCACGTGTGGTGGCTCATGCCTATAATCCTACCACTTTAGGAGACCAGGTGTGAAGTTTGCTTGAGGACAGGAGTTCAGGACTATACTGGGCAACACAGTGAAAACCCATCTTTACAAAAATACAAAAATTGTTTTAAAAATTAGCTGAGCATAGTGGTGTGCACCTGTAGTCCTAGCTGTCTGGGAGGGTGAGGTGGGAGGATTGCTTGAGGCCAGGAGTTCAAGGCTGCAGTGAGTTATTATCACAACACTGTACTCCAGCATTGGTGACAGAGAAAGGCCCTGCCTCAAAAAATAATAAAGAAAGAAATCTCACTGTCTTTTTCCCTTGGACAAAATAGCATAGCATGATATTTTATAGAACAATGAGTGAACAGTGCATAGCTACATGCCAATAAGACAGCACAGCTAATGAATCAATAGCTTTTTCCCTGCTCAATTAAAATAAAAATCACAAAACCATTAACTTAGTCTTTATTGTAAGCAGAAGCAAAATTAGCCAACATTCCCACAAAATTAATGTTTGACTCTCAAAAACATTAATCACGGCCTTGTTATTGATAATATTCTCAGTAAAAACTTAAACAATCAAGGACAAAAAAACTCCGTGAGTTAATTATTAGATTGGCTCTCTCAAGCTTGTAAGTTCACAAACAATTACGTAATCCTCACTTTCTTTTGGCTCTACTCTCCTAAACTGAGCTCCCAATAATTCTCATCTATTCTGAAGGATGTTCTAGGCCCTGAGGACAAACATGGGTTTTTCTAGGACTGTTGTTCCCACTCCTTTCCCCTACTATGTATCCTTCAGGGAGTAAGATAATGCAAAGGGTAGAGTCCACTTGGTTTAAAGGCGGGATCTGCAATCTTCTACCATGCAACCATTGACAAATTATGTCTCTGTTTCTGTTTCCTTAAAAAAATGGGATTTAAAAAAAGTTCATATGCCATATGGCTATCATGAAAATTAAAAACTGCTTTGAATAGTGTCTAACACAAAAAGGTACTCAATAGATGATAATAGCAAGCTATCATTTTTTTTTTTTTTTTGAAACAAGGTCTTGTCCTGTAGCCCAGGCTGGAGTGCAGTGGCACAATCAACTCATTTTAACCTCAAGCTCTTGGGCTCAAGCAATCCTCCCACCTCAGTCTCCCAAGTAGCAAGGACTACAGGCATGTGCCACCACACTCACTTAATTCCGTTGCTGAAATGGAGTCTCACTCTGTTGCCCAGGCTAGTCCTGAACTTCTGGCCTCAAGTGATCCTCCTTCCTCTCAGCCTCCCAAAGTGCTAGAATTATAGGTATGAGCCACTGTGCCTGGTCCATCAATATTTTTAACCATTCCACTGCTATAATTATCAGCTTAATTAGAGGAAAAGATTTGGACACAGAGAAAAGAAATTGAAAATATTCCGTTATACTTCTCAAAGCCCAGTGTGATGACAGAGAGAGACTTAAAACACAGATGGAAGATGTTAGGACAAAAGCATTTAGTGGAAAATGGCTAGGAGAAAAATTGATAGACCAATAGTTCAAATATAAATGACAAGATAGTAACTATTATAACCCTGGCTGAACACACAAAAACAAAACACTTAAGAGAGCAAGTCTTGTTTAGCTTTTTAGATACTCAGAAATATGCTGAGGGCTGAAATAGTAATATTACAATATAAAAAATAATTACTCCAGCCGGGTGCAGTGGCTCACGTCTATAATCCCAGCACTGTGAGAGGCCACACCGGGTGGATCATGAGGTCAGGAGTTCAAGACCAGCCTGGCCAAGATGGTGAAACCCCATGTCTACTACAAATACAAAAATGTGGCAGGTGCCTGTAATCCCAGCTACTTGGGAGGCTGAGGCAAGAGAATCACTTGAACCTGGGAGGTGGAGGTTGCAGTGAGCGGAGATCGCACCACTGCACTCCAGCCTGTGACAGAGCAAGACTCTGTCTCAAAAAAACAAAAAATACAAAAATAACAATTACTCCAAAAGTGCAGAGATAAAAGTGATTATCAAATACTTGTGGAGCTCTCAGCAGGTGACGAAATAGACAAACACTGTTCAAAGTCCCTTTCATTTCCCTATCCCCCACCCCAACCTCTGAAACATATCTAAAGCAGTATCTCACAAATGATCACCATCCCTGTGTGGGATGGAGATGGAAGTGGCACGCTGTTGTTCTGGGAGATATCTTAATTTGTATTTATGTAAGTTAGTAAGTTATAATTTTGAAAATAAAGGGCTTTTATGTCTTTTTAACACTGAAACAGACAGTGGCAAAATTTTATTTTAGAAACTCTATAAATAAAAGATTCCTGAAGATTACTACAAAAGGCCAACTGGCTTCAAAGTTCAGATGAGACCCCAGGAAGAGGAAGATGCACCTCGGAACCAGACTTGAGGGTTTTTAAAGCAGACTGGACAGGTGAGGAAGGCTCTGTGTGGTGAGAGCGAGAAAAAAAACTGACACCTGCCGGACTGGGCCTGTCCCAGTGGGGAAGCAGTCCCAGCCGTCTCAACCTCTCTAAGAAAACTGTCACTAGAAAAATAATAAATCATGTGCTTTTCTTTGTTTAGTGTCCTGCGGACTTATCTCAGCAACTACATGTATGAACTGCCTGGCAGGGCTGAGGGAATTCAGCAAAGATAACTGTCCTCCAGAGAAGCCACAGCCTTCCTGCCCAAGTTCCAGCAAAATGAGTTAGTGTATCCAGCTCCTCCTCTCCTAAATGGGCAGGGCAGTCCTTTGCTCATATAATCAGTAATTCCTCATTCTTGTATCTCTGACAAATATGTGCAACAATTAGTTTCTTTAAAAAAAATACCTGACTGGCAATGTAATCTTGAAAGAAACATAAAAGCTTCCCATAAAATCATAACTTAAAAAAAAAAAAACTTTGCTTTAAAATCATGATTTGTAGATTAAGCACCCCCTCTGCTGAACAGATCTGGTTTTGCAAACTTTTCATTTTCCCTAAATGCTAAACTGAAATTGGAGCTCACCATTTGAAAGGTACTTTCTTCCTCTCAGATATAATCGCAGTTTTATCTGCCTAATATTTTTGTAGACCATAATATCTAGCTCATCTTTGGTCCTTGTGGGGCAGTCCTTGTTTGTAAACAATGCGCTAACTTCTACCTAGTAGAAAATTGAGGGAGAAACTAGGATTTCTATGTTTTTTTCTGGATGGCCCACTGTCTGAAAGTCTGCTAATAAAGCTTCATTATGTAAGCTCCTATCTTAATAATCTCTTTGAAAACACAAATGCCTTTGGGAAAGAGTATATCCAAAAATGCAGGATATTAAGCTAATTCCCACAGTGGTAGAAAGAGCATCTCAGAGCTCTCAGAGACAGAAATGAAGAATACAGGGAGAGTGAGGTATGAGAAGGCAATATTTTGTTTTCCTACAATTCCTACCTAGGTTCAGACTCTGAGTACCTTCATGTGACTTAAAAAAAATCTTGGAATATCTAAAATATATTTTTCATGAATCTTAACGATTAAATGTAAATATCTTCATCTCTGACTATTTCTCCAAGACAGATTTATATTAAAATACAGAATCAAAAGGTATATATTAAAGATATTCATAAATATTTCAAAACTGTTTTTCCAAAAGGTATTATCAATGTATAATCTCATCCCAAATGGGTAAATGCTCAGAGAGTTCAGGAGACATGCTTGGGCTAGAGACACTCTCAGAGTCACAGCTCCAAGTGGTTGAAGCCACTGAGGTGTTTTTAACACGTGTTAGCACATGGTAGAGGCCCAGCAAATATTTGCTGATAGAATGTCCTAGTGTACCCCATTCAGCTGATCACTCTTGCTGTTCCCCCCCCAAAAAAGTTGGCTGGTGTCAAGTGCCTCCTCTGTTCAAAAAATTAAGTTACTTGTTAAAACTGAATTGAACCTACAATCCAGCAGTGTTTAGGCTGGGTGTGTCAATCTCCAAGAGCCCACAAAGGTTTTTGAAAGATTACATGGGCAGGAATAGTATAAAGGAATTCACTTTCAGATCCTCACCTTTCCTATGAAAGTTGGCCCTCCATATCCATGGGTCCTGCATCCACAGATTCAATCTACCACAAATCAAAAATATTTGAAAAAAAGTTTGATCTGCACTAAACACACATAAAATGTTTTTCCTTGTCATCATTCCCAAAATGATACAGTATACTATCTACTTACATAGCATTTGCATTGCATTACATGTAAGAAATCTAAAGAGGATTTAAAGTATACAAGAGGATGAACATAGGTTATATACAAATGCTATGTCACTTTTTATTAGGAATTTGAGCTCTCTCTATTGTTGGTCTCCAAGAAAGGTCTCGGAACCAATCCCGCATAGATACAGAGGGATTATTGTATTCTTTACTAAAACTGATCTGCCTGAGGACACAGTGTGCTATTTTCTTTTCCTACTTTTTCCTTTCACAATGGCTCTTCCTTGCACTCTAGAAAATAAGGGCCTAGGCCATTTTAAAATGTTTTGGAGGATAGTTGGCAGGATGGCTGAATAGGAACAGCTCTGGTCTGAAGGTCCCAGGGAGATCAGTGCAGAAGGTGGGTGATTTCTGCTTCCAACTGAGGTAACCAACTCATCTGACAGGGACTGGTTAGACAGTGGGTGCAGACCACAGAGGATGAGCCAAAACAGATGGGGCGTCGCCTCACCTGGGAAGTGCAAGAAGTCTGGGAACTCCCTTCCCTAGCCAAGGGAAGCCATGAGAAACTGTGTCATGAGAAATGGTATATTCCACCCCAGATACTAAGCTTTTCCCATGGTCTTCGCAACCCGAAGACCAGGAGATTCCCTCAGGTGGCTACACCATCATGGCCCTGGTTTCAAGCACAAAACTGGGAGGTCATTTGGGCAGACACCAAGCTAGCTGCAGGAGTTTCTTTTTCATACCACAGTGGCACCTGGAACATCAGCAAGACAGAACCATTAACTCCCCTGGAAAGAGGGCTAAAGCCAGAGAGCCAAGTGGTCTAGCGCAACAGATCCCATCCCCATGGAGCCCAGAAAGCTAAGAGCTACTGGCTTAAAATACTCACTGCCAGTACAGCAGTCTGAAGTTGACCTGGAACTCTTGAGCTTTGTGGGAATATGGGCATCCACCATTACTGAGGCTTGAATAGGTGGTTTTCCCCTCACAGTGTAAACAAAGCTACTAGGAAGATCAAACTGGGTGAAGCCCTCGGCAGCTCACCAAAACTGCTGTAGCCAGACTGCCCCTCTAGATTCCTCCTCTCTGGGCAGAGCATCTCTGAAATAAAGGCAGCAACCCCAGTCAGGGGCTTGTAGATAAAACTCCCATCTCCCTGGGACAGAGCACCTGAAGGAAGGGGTGGCTGTGGGCGCAGCTTCAGCAGACCTGTCTGTTGGCTCTGAAGAGAATAGCAGATCTCCCAGCATAGCACTTGAGGTCTGCTAAGAAACAGACTGCCTCCTCAAGTGGATCCCTGACCTCTGTGTCTCCTGACTGGGAGAAACATCCCAGTAGGGATCGACAGACACCTCATATGGGAGATCTCTGGCTAGCATCTGGCAGGTGCCCTTCTGGGATGAAGCTTCAGAGGAAGGAATAGGCAGAAATCTTTGCTGTTCTGCAGCCCCTGCTGGTGATACCCAGAAAACAAGGTCTGGAGTGGACCTCCAACAAACTCTAGCAGACCTGCAGCAGAGGGGCTTGACTGTAAGATGGGAAACTAACAAACAGAAAGGAATAGCATCAACATCAACAAAAAAAACATCCACACAGAAATCCCATCCAAAGGTCACCAACATCAAAGACAAAAGGTAGATAAATACACGAAGATGAGAAAAAAATGAGTGCAAAAAAGGGTGAAAATTCCAAAGACCAGAACACTTCTGCTCTTTCAAAGGATCACAATTCCTCACTAGCAAGGAAAAAAAGTGGATGGAGAATGAGTTTGACAAATTGACAGACATTGGCTTCAGAATGTGGGTAATAACAAACTCTTCAAGCTAAAGGAGCATTTTTTTTCTTCTTCTTGAGACAGAGTCCTGCTCTATAACCAGTCCAGAGTGCAGTGGCACAATCTTGGTTCACTGCAATGTCTGCCTCCCTGGTTCAAGCAATTCTCCTGCCTCAACTTCCCGAGTAGCTGGGACTACAGGCACATGCCACCACATACAACTAATTTTTGTATTTTTAGTCAAAACAGGGTTTCACCATGTTGGCCAGGATGGTCTCAATCTCTTCACCTCATGATCTGCCTGCCTTGGCCTCCCAGAGTGCTGGGATTACAGGTGTGAGCCACTGCACCCAGCCAGGAGCATGTTCTAACCAAATGCAAGGAAGCTAAGAACCTTGAAAAAAGATTAGAGGACTTGCTAACTAGAATAACCAGTTTAGAGAAGAACATAAATGACCTGATGGAGCTGAAAAACACAGCATGAGAACTTTGTGAAGCATGCACAAGTATCAATAGCTGAATTGATCAAGTGGAAGAAAGGATATCAGAGATGAAAGATCAACTTAAGTAAATAAAGCATGAAGACAAGATTAGAGATAAAATGAAAAGGAACAAAGCAAGACTCCAAGAAATATGGGACTATGTGAAGACCAAACCTACATTTGATTGGTGTACCTGAAGGTGATGGGGAGAATGGAACCAAGTTGGAAAACACTCTTCAGGATATTATCAAGGAGAACTTCCCCAACCTAGCAAGAGAGGCCAACATTCAAATTCAGGAAATACATAAAATACCACAAAGACACTCCTTGAGAAGACCATCCCCAAGATACATAATCATCAAATTCACCAAAGTTGAAATGAAGGAAAAAATGTTAAGGGCAGTCAGAAAGAAAGTTCGGGTTATCTACAAAGGGAAGTCCATCAGACTAACAGTAGATGCCTCTTCAGAAACCCTACAAGCCAGAAAGAGTAGGACCAATATTCAATATTCTTAAATAAAAGAACTTTCAACCCAGAATTTCATATCCAGCCAAACCAAGCTTCATAGGAGAGGAAGAAATAAAATCCTTTACAGACAAGCAAAGGCTGAGAGATTTTGTCACCACCAGGTCTACCTTACAAGAGCTCCTGAAGGAAACACTAAATATAAAAAGGAAACACTGGTACCAGCCACAGCAAAAACATACCAAATTATAAAGACCACCAACACTATGAAGAAACTGTATCAATAAACAAGCAAAATAACCAGCTAGCATCATAATGACAGGATCAAATTCACATATAACTATGTTAACCTTAAATGTAAATGGACTAAATGCCCCAACTAAAAGACACAGACTGGCAAATTAGATAAAAAGTCAAGACCCATCAGTGTGCTGTATTCAGGAGACACATCTCACATGCAAAGACATGCTCAAAATGAAGGGATGAAGAAAGATTTACCAAGCAAATGGAAAGCAAAAAAAGCAGAGGTGGCAATCCTAGTCTCTGATAAAACAGATTTTAAACCAACAAAGATCAAAAGAGACAAAGAAGGGCATTACATAATGGTAAAGAGATGAATGTAACAAGAAGAGCTAACTATCCTAAATATATACACATGCAATACAGGAGCACTCAGATTCATAAAGCAAGTTCTTAGAGACCTACCAAGAGACTTAGACTTCTACACAATAATAGTGGGAGACTTTAATACCTCACTGCCAGTATTAGACAGATCAACAAGACAGAAAATTGACAAGGATGTTCAGGAATTGAACTCAGCTCTGGACCAAGCAGACCTAACAGACATCTACAGAACTCTCCACCCCAAATCAACAGAATATACATTGTTCTCATCACCACATTGCACTTACTCTAAAATTGACCCATAATTGGAAGTGAAACACTCCTGAGCAAATGCAACAGAATGGAAATCATAAAAAACAGTCTCTCCAAACCACGGTGCAATCAAATTAGAACTCAGGATTAAGAAACTCACTCAAAACCACACTACTCCATGGAAAATGAACAACATACTCCTGAGTGACTATTGGGTAAATAATGAAAAAAGGGCAGAAGTAAATAAGTTGTTTGAAAACTATGAGAACAAAGACACAACATACAAGAATCCATGGGACACAGCTAAAGCAGTGTTTAGAGGGAAATTTATAGCACTAAATGTCCACAGGAGAAAGCAGGAAAGATCTAAAATCAACACCCTAACATAACAATTAAAAGAACTAGAGAAGCAAAACCAAACAAATTCAAAAGACAGCAGAAGACAAGAAGTAACTAAGATCAGAGCAGAACTGAAGGAGATAGAGACACAAAAAAACCCTGCAAAAAAAATCAATGAATGCAGGAGCTCATTATTTGAAAATATTAACAAACTAGATAGACTGCTAGCCAGGCTAATAAAGAAGACAAGAGAGAAGAATCAAGTAGACACAATAACAAATGATAAAGGGGATATCACCACCAATCCCATGGAAATACAAACTACCATCAGAAAATACTATAAATGGGAGGAAGATGCAAGATGGCGGTTTAGAACCAGCTCAGGTTTGCAGCTCCCAGTGAAAGCGCAGATGGTGAGTGGATGCCGCATTTCCAGACGTATCTTTATTGCCCACAGACCAGAAGATTCCCAGGTGGAGAAGCCCCATAGGTCGCCAGCACACTATTTTGGCCAGAACAGCAATTTTTCTGGCGCGGCAGTTCTCCATACAAAATACACTGGTCTGGTTGCCCTTTTAAGCTGGCGATTGGAGCTCCGGGAAGGCAGAGTCGCCCATTCATCTGATTAAACAGAGGACAGAAACAGGGAGCCAGGCCAGGAGATTCCCAGGCAGCACCGTTGTCTCAGCCGGCGCAGTGGGTGACTGCACGAGAAATCACACAGATCCCGGTGCCTTTTCAGCAGGTGACTGGAACACCTGGAAGAGAGTCAACCATTCAACTTAAAAAAAAAAACAAGGCTCTGAGTCAGAGAATCAGGTGATCAGGCTCAGTGGGTCCTACCCACACATTAAAAAAAAAAAAAAAGCAATTGGAAATGCCCTGGGTTGAGAGTGTCAGAGCAAGCACAGCTGAACTCGGGACAGTCCAGCTCTGTGGAGCAAGGGCGTCTGCCATTACTTAGGCACTC